ATATATATATAATATATATATATAAACACAGATAGAGAGAGGGTCCTGTGTGTTTTACTGGGAATCGGAAAGATAGGATGCAGCAGCCCCAAACTACGGTAACGTTGGTAGTGCAGGAGGAGGAAGGGCAAACGTGGACAGAACGAGGAAAGCCTGCTTAGACTCCAAGGCAGACATAGACAACAACTGTACAGCCGACCGCTTTCTGTTCCCCCCGCCGCCGCTGCTTCCAAGGCAGAACAACAGCAGAGCGCTGTTGCAGCTTGATGCTCATGCTGCTGTTGCTCTCGTTCCTCTGCACTGTCTGCTCCTGGTGCTGCTGCTGCACTTCGTTCCTGCTGCTGCACTGGCAGTTTGCACTCCTTCTGCTGCTGCTCCTTCAATTGGTCATAGACAGTAGCGAACTGAGCGAGGTATGCGGCAAAACGAAGAGGAGAAATACAAGCACGACAGCAGCAGCAAGCAACAACGATTGCTGCAGCAGATACACACAAGCGCAATACTCCGCATAACTGTCTGCACCCAAATCCTGTCCTTGGTGTTGTTGCTGTTACTGCTACTGTATCTGGTTGTTTTGCAGTGTTGAACTAAGCAGCAACACCAGCGGCAGCAGTAGCAAACGCAACTACGGCAGCAATTACAGCAGTGGCAGGAACAGAAGGAGCAGCAGCAACAGCAATTTACCTTAATAGATTGCTTCCTGTATTTGTGGGCAAGCAGCAAATCGGTGCAGGCTGCAGCTGTGAGTTTCTCAGTCTGTGTTGTCACAGCAGCAAGCTGCTGCTGCTGCTGCTGTCGCCTCTGCTGCTGCTCCTGCAGCAACGATGCTAGCTGCTGTAACTCCCTCAGCTCTGTACGCAGCAGGTGTAGCACCAGTAATACCAAAGCACAAGAATACCAACGGCGGCAGTAACAGCACTCGTAATAGTATTGCATGCAGCAGCAAACAACTCGAAAGCATATAGCAGCAGCAGTAGCATCTGCGTAGACAGCTAGCCGTAACAGCTGCTGCTGCTGCTGTCCCTGCATCTGCCCACTTTCTTCCAGCTTCAGCAGTTTGCTCCTCTTCTCCGACAGTTGGTTACCCACGAGACCCTGCGCATACATCGCACGCAGTAATTGCACAGACAAGGTAGCTACTACTTTTCTCGACGCCGCTGCTGCACGTGTGCTGCTGTTGCAGCACGCCACTGCAAGCAGCAGCAGAAGTTGCCTCTGTTGATGCACCGTCTCGCATTCCTGTTTTGCTCCTGCCGTATTCATCCTGCTGCTCCATCATTTGCTGCTTGCACTACGGCTAAGGCTGACCTTGCTGCTGCTGCTGTAGTGGCTTACACTGGTTATTTGGCCGGCCCATGGCGAGGCGGACAATGGCCCCAAGAGACCGCTCAGCTGTCCAGCAGCAGCACCAGGAAATGCTGCAGGGGGAAAAAACCCACGCAAACACCGCTCGGTCAACAGCACACAACAGCACACGCCGCAGTACCAGCAACATATGCAGATGCAACATGGCAGCGCAAGCAGCAGCACCAACATCAGTAACAGCAACAACAGCAGCAGTAGCAACTCGTCCAGCAGCAAGAGCAAATCCAGCAGGAGCAGCAGCAGCAAGGGAGTGGCTGACAGCATCTAATTTGGTCTGCTGCTTCTAGCAGCCAGCGGGCATTTGCCTCCTGCTGCAGCTGCTGCTGCAGCAGCAACGCCTCTTGGAAGTCTGCACATTGGTGCCTGAGCACACTGCGGCGTATTCGCAGTTCTGCCGCCGCTGCTGCGAGCTGTTGCTGCTGCTGTTGTTGCTGCCAATGTGGAAGCAAAGCCGACAGCCTGTCTTGCTGCTGCTCTTGCTGCTGTTGCTGTTGTAGATGGTTTTCAGCTTCCACCAAGTCGTCCTGGCGTTGCTGCAGCTGTGAGCTTGCTTCTTGCAGCAGCTGCTGCAGCATCTCGATCTGCAGTAGGACAACGCACCCGCTTTGCTGCTGCTGCTCTTGCTGCTGCGGGTTTGCCGCTGCTGCTGAGCACCAGCAGCATGGGGCGTCCAAGTCTGGAGGTGCGATATGCGGGTGCAACAGTAGCAGCTGCAGCGTCTGCTGCTGCATCTCCATTGTGCGAGTCAGTGATAGCTTGAGGGCTTTAGAAGTCCTCAGAAAATGAACCAAAGGTGACACCCCCTTGCCAATGCTGCTGCTGCTCAAATCATGGGCAGCAGCAGCAGCAACAGTGGCAGCAGAGGGCGGCAGCAAAAGGCTTTCTGCTGTTTCTCTTTCCTTCTCCTCTGCTTCAAAGGCCGAACTGGGTGAGAGTTGGTGAACTTCCACAGCAGTGTTTTCAGACGCAGTTGCTGCTGCGGCTGCTGCTGCAGCTCCTCCGTTTCTGTCCCCCCCCCACAACGGGGACACCGTCAGCACTGGAGAGCCTGGACTCTGCCAGAAGCCCTCCGAAGGCGCTGTCGACTCGCACACCGCATCCTCTTCATTGGGACTAAAGCTGCTGAGACTGCGCGAGCCCTTAGGCGCCCCACAGCTCCAGTGAGCCCCCTCATGAGCCCCCTTGAATGGGGCGGCGCCCGGAACTGCCCCCGACAACACGGGCCCCTGAAAGGGACCCCCAAAGGGCCCCTCGAAAGGCCCCTCCACCTTCGGACGCCAAAGAGAATCTGGAGAAGGGGACGTCCGCGGCTTCTCGTGAACCCTCCCGCACTGTCCAGAAGGCCGCTGGGGCCCCGTGACCGGGGGCCCCTCAGGGTCTTTCAATAGGGAGCCCTGAGGGCACCACTCCCCACTCATGGCTTCTGACACTACAGTGGTACTTGCTAGGGCTGCGTCTGTGCTGCTGGTGTTCCTACTACTGCTGCAGTTCGGGTGCCAAGACAAGGAAGTCCCCTCAGGAGCTGCTCTCACCTGCTGCAGCCCCCGCTGGGGGAGGGGCTCCACTGGGTTCAGTGTTTAGGTTATTTACAGCATATAAAGGCAGAAATAAAAACAAAAGGAACCAACTGAGCCGTCGGAGGCAAGGACAAACGAGGGAGTGCCCACAGACAGGCCGCCCTTGCTCTTGTTGCAGCGGCTGCAGCTGCGGCGGTTACAGGGTACAGCAGCAGCCGCTGCTGAAGCAGTTGTTGCTCCTACAGCTACTGTGATAATCAAGATAGTTGTGATCTTCTAAATGTGAAGCCAAATATACAAATAAAAGGAAAGAAGAGAGAAGAGAGTAGCGCCCGCACATTACAGGCGGCGGGCTCCTTAACTCATGGCCCCTCACACAACTGCCATCCTCACCGCAGCAGCAGCAGCAACAACAATAGCAACATTAGATATATGCGTGAAAATGTAAAACACTGGTGTTGCTATACAAATTGGTGGCATGAGAGCAGTGTTGCTACAAAATAGGTTCAGGGTTTTGGGTTTAGGATCTAGAACTTAGGATTGAGGGTACAGCGTGTAGGCGGTGGCAAGCAGAGCAGCACGATAGCCAGATATCCAGCGGTAGCAGCACCAACAGCACCAGGTGAAGCAGCAATAAAGGGTTTTTTTGTGTGCTGTCTGCAACGCGTCTTGCCGGGGGTGTATACATGTAGCAGCTGCTGTTTAGGGCGCAAGTTGCTGTTAACCACTTTTCCAAACACTCCGCGCAGGCAGCGAGAGGCGGCAGCGATTTGCACCAATTTTCACCTCAAGCAGCGTCTCATTACCACCCATCTGTATTTGCCGTGCAGTCCACTGCTGCTGTGGTTATCGAGGCCGTCTCTTTGTCTGGGTCCCTCTGTAGGTAAAATTGATCCCAAGGGGCCCCCACTAAGGGACCGAAGGTCCCCCTACGTTCGCTTGCGGGGATCAACAAAAGGGTACTAAGGGGCCTCCTTGATAAGCACCCCCAGAAGGGTACTACTAGACTAGTGTGAGGGCCCTTGAGTCTGACCTTTCAGCATTGAAGGCTTGCTACATAGGTGGCTAGCAGGAATTTTATGGCTTATATAGAAGTTAGGAATTAGAGGCGAGATATTTGAGGGTCTGAAGTAGCAACTCGTTGTCTTCATCAGTGCAGAACTTCACCAATGCCCGGGGTACACCTCTGCAACAACAGCACCAGCACAACATGCACATCAGCGGCAATAACAGCAACAGCATGCCCAGCAGTAGGAAAAACCGTAGTAGAGTCCGTGATAACAGCCACCCACAAAGAAGCAGCAAAGGTAGGAGACACGATACAGAAGGAAATAGCAACAGTAGCAACAACAGTAGCAGAGCTGACGGTGAGCTGTTCTCGACTTGACGCTGCAATGATAGGAATTCATCCGGCGTCAAGTGCCCGCATGTCTCCAGAGCCCCCAAAGCCTGCAGCAAATCTTCCTTGCTGCAGAAGCAGCAACGCCAAGAGCAAGAGAAGCAGCAAGACGTTGTTTGCTGCTGAACTCCCGCAGGTACCTCATGTGTTAACCTAGTACCCTCTGCTAGGGTGTGCATGCAATTGCAAAGATATCGAGTAGCGCTACAACAAGAACTCAAACCCTTAACCTAAAAGACCCTAAACCCTACTGAGGCCCTTAGGCCCCCGAGCAGAAAGTGCACCATCGGCAGCTGCAACAGCTGCAGAACCGCTTACTTCAGCAAATGTAAGTTCTCACTAGAGCCTGGGAGATCCAGCAGCGTCTCCTGGGGGCCCCCAAAGGTTTCTCCGGAGCCCCCAAAGACGTGGTGGGGATCTCCATACTCTGCTTTTGGGGGGTCTGTAGGTTTTGTTGAAAGGGCAGCGGCAGCAGCTGCTGCACTGGGGGGGCCCTGTTGCAATTGAGGTGGGGCCTCCTGTGGACGACGGCGTGCAGACATAGGCAGGGGCGATAGGGGGCCTCCGGGAGAGGAAGGGATGGCTCCCTCCTTAGCTGCACAGAGGCCATCAGGTCCTGCATGCAAATGAAGCAAACAACAGAGGAGGTGGCATGCTCTCGCACCTGCAACGGCATGCAGCAACGAGCAGCAGCACCAGGCAGCAGCATGTACAAAGTTGTTCAAAGGTTACAGAATATTGGATTAGTTCAAATTTATTGATAAAAACGAGTTTGTTGCGGCTAGGAGTGCCAGAAAAACGTACCTCGTGTTTCGCCACGCCTGCGGTTGGCCCAGCAGAAGTGCGGCTCACGCCTCAAGCACTGTCCACCTACGGTGGGGCCATCAGGTTGCTGCTGCTGCTGCTGGGGTGGTGTCTGGGCTACAGCGTGCTGGGGTCCCCCCTGGATGCAGCAGCAGCACTCACACTGCAGGCACTGAGGGCAGCTGCAATAGCAGCAAAACTCTGCATGCCCCCGATGTTGTAACTCGGGTGCACACATCCGGGGACTCAGCTCCGCCGCTGCATCCCACCTGCTGCTGCTGCTGCCGAGTTCGCGTGCTTGAGTCACCTTGCAGAACTCGTTTACCGGTAGCTGTTGCTGGTACAGGTTGAGCTGGTCGTGCTGCTCCTGCTGCAGTGTTTCCTGTTTGGGCGCAGCTTGCTGCTGCCCGGGAAACAGCGACTTGTGTGGCAATGCATCATGCAATACCTGCTGCAGCATACAATGATTCTGCTGCTGCTGCTGCTGATCGGTGTTGTCTTCCACTGTCATCCTCAGTTGCGGTTGCATCTCTAGGCAATGCTGCTGCAGTTGCAGAGGCTCTAGCTTCTGCAACATATGCGGCTGCTGATCGTCGGCTCGAGCCTTGTCCTGCTCGTTGCGTAGAGTCTGGTGCTGCTGTTGCCGCTGCTGCTGCTCTCTCCGACGGTCCTGATACGCGCTGCTGATTTCCTGCGTCGTTACCTGCTGCTGTGGCTGCTGCTGGACTTGGGATGGTGGCGGCAGGGGCGACTGTGCAGGAGGCAGCTGCAAGGGTTGTTGCTGTTTTTGTTGTTTCTGCTGCTGCTGCTGTGTGTAGCTGAACCTCTGTAGAGCGCTGGAGAGGTCGCTGCTTGCTGCCTCGGAAGGCGTTGACGGCTTCTCCGTTGCCACATGGCCCTCCTCTATAAACATAAGGCTGATACCTTGCTGCTGTTGTTGCTGCTGTTGCTGCTTCTGCTGCGGCGAGCCGAATATCTGGGGACTGCAGCGGTTAGTCTCGAGAGAAGGGCTAGAGCTGCTGCTGCAGTCCACGACGGCAGCAGCAGCACCTTGTGGGGTTGCAGTAGCAGCCCGAAGGGTTAACCGCCCGGAAACAGGCAAACGGCTTGTTGTCGCAGAAGAGTAGCTCAAATGCTGTTGCTGCAGCATCTGTTGCTGCTGCAGTATGTGTTGTTGCTGCAGCTGTTGTTTCTGGATCTGTTGCTGCTGCAGTGGAGTGCGCAGCACAACAGTTTGCTGCTCTGAGAGTGATGGACCGACAACCTCTCCGTCGCTGAGTTGTTGCACCAGCGGCCTGCCTTGGGTACTGCTGGATCCCAGCCAAGACAGTAACGGTCCATCTGTAGATACACCTGAAAGTGGGAGTGGAAAGTATTCATAGAGTCCGTTATTTTGTGGCACTTCCCCTTGGCTGAGGCAGCGCTCGAAGGGGTCGTCAGCACCAGGGACAGCAGCAGCTGCCGCGGCTGCTGCTGCTGCTGCTACGGTGGCAGCGCTAGCAGCACCCGTCGCTGCCGCAGCTGCTGATGCTGCAGTCGTTGCTGCACCGCTGGCACTTGCAGCTAGGGCTGCTGCAGCTGCCGCTGCTGCTGCTGGTGTGTCCCGAGGTGCAAGCACCAACGCCGCCGAGGGGTCCGTCGCAAGCAGGGGAGACGGCACTCCCACGTAGTCGTGATCGTGTTGCTGTTGTTTCCGCTGCTGCTGCTGTTCCTGTTGAGGCTGTTGCTGATGTTGCTGCTGTGCAGCAGTGGGGCCCCTTTCTTCCTCTTTTTGCTGCCTGCTGCCACGAGGACGATCCTCAGCAGCAGTTGCCCCCTCCCCAGCGTTGTTGCTGCTGCGGTGGGGGCTGTTGCCGCTGCTGTTGCTGCCGCCGCTGCTACTGTTGCTGCCGGTTCCGGCTGACTGCAGCAGCGGCAGCAAAGCGCGGGGAAGGGATAGCAGTTTGGACGACCACGAGGCCTTCCCTTGGTCGTTAAAGGGGCCACTACCCTCACTCGGTAGAGGGTCGAACTCCAGTCCTGTCCTCTGCTGCTGCTGTTGTTGTGGTTGATGCTGCCGCTGGTGGTCATGATGAGCTGCAGTAGCAGAACCGATAATGCTGCAGGAGGGGAGGTGGTACGCTCTCAACTCAACAGACTCAGAAACTGATGCTACCGCTACAGTTTCTGCTGCTGTTGAGGGTCCGCCTGCTGCAGGCTCTGCTGATGCTGTTGTTGCTACTGCCTCTGGTTCAGCTGCTGCTAATATCTGGCCTGCCGCCCCAGGATCCGCTACTGTCGTCTGGGGAGTATGAGCTGCCGCTGCTGCTGCACACGCACTGCCTTCCGCTGCTTCTCCTGCAGCTGCGGCAGCAACTGCAGCTCCTGCTGCTGGTTCATCTGGCACAAATGCTGTTACTACTGCTGCTGCTGCTGCTATCTCAGGATCTGGTGGGGGTACACCCGGGAGGCCTGAGAAACTCCTCATTGGAAGACTGGTGATGCTGAGGCTCCTAAGGGAGCCGTTGCTGTCCTCGTGACTGTCGTTGTTGCTGCTTGTGTTTTTGGTGTTGCTGATACTGCTGTTGTTGTTCTTGTCGTTGTTGCTGCTGTTGTTGTAGTTGCTCTTGTTGTTGTTCGTGTTGTTCTTGCTGTCGTTGTTCTTGCTGCTGTAGTTGTTGCTGCTGCCTTTGTGTTGGTCCATGCCGTCTCTATTGTTGTAAGAGAGATTGCGTTTCTCCTCAGGGGCTCTGTGCAGCAGTGGATAGGCAGGTTCGTGAAGTTGCTGCGCTTGCGGCAGCTGCTTCTGCTGCTGCTGCTGGATGTGTTCATGCTCCTCTGGGCTATCAACAGCCCCCCAGTGCATGGGATTGCTGCAGCGTCTCAGCAGCAAACTCGTGCTGCTGCGGCTGCTGCCACTGCTGCGGCGGCTGCTGCCGCTATCCCCTGGTTGTCTGTTGGTAGGTCTCCTGCTGCTGCTATGCTTGAAACTCAGAGTGGAAGACGCAGGCTTCCCGAAGGGAATTCCTCTTCCACTGATTTCTGCTTCGATGCCGTATCCTGTGAGCCAGCTCGTGTGTCTCGTGTATTGGCTTTGCTGCTGCTGCTGCTGCTGCTGCAGCTGCATAAGTTGCTCCTGCTGCTGCTCCTGCAGCCGCTGTAGCAGCTGCAGCCGCTGCTGTTGTTGCTGAAGCTGCTGCTGCTGATGCTGCAGCTGCTGCAGCAACAGATGCTGTTGGTCGTGTTGGCGTTGCTCCAGCACGGGCTGGTGATGCTGGCCGCTTTCCTGCAGCCGCTGCTGCTGCAGCTGTTGCTGCACCTGTTGCTGCACCTGTTGCTGCACCTGTTGCTGGAACTGCAGCTGTTGCTGCTGCAGCTGTTGCTGCAACAGTTGTTGCTGTTGCAATTGCTGCTGCTGCCGCTGTTGCATTCGCTGCACTTCCTGCAGCGGTGCAGCGGCGGGTACAGCCACAGAATGCAATTTTTGGAATCGTTGAGCGTCCTTATCCTCTTTAGAAGGCAGTAGAAGCCAGGTCTTTGACCGCAGCCTCAAACTGTCCCCTTCTGCGGCTGCTGCAGAGTCTGCTGTCGATGCGGCAGGCGCTGCTGCCGCTGCTGCCACCGTTGTGTCTGGTTCACCTTCTGTTGCTGCTAAAGAGTTAACTTTGCCTTGTGTGCCAATCGCGCTTGCAGCCGCTGCTGTTTCTGCCGTTGTGTCTGCCAGCCGTACTACTTCTTCACTGTCTTCCGTTCCTGCTGCTTCTGGTGCTGGCAATGTTTCTGCTGCTGCTCCCCCTAGTTCTGCAACTTTTTCTGCTGGTGTTTCAGTTTGTGCCTTCGTGCACAGAGGGCCATCTGCACCAGCCCGGTTGCCTTGTCTGCTTCTGCTATTAAATGTACATCTAGCAGTAGAGCTTGTGGCCCTTCTAGCTGGTGACGAGATGTTGTCGTTGGCAGCCATGTGTAGGTCCCATCTGCTGCTGCTGCGGCTGCTGCTGCTGTTGCTGCAGCTCTGGCTGCGAGAACCAGCAGCAGCCACGACGGTGCGGCTGCGGCCTTTCAGCCTGTCGTTTTGGCTTTTAGGAGAACTTGCACAGGAAGAAGACGTCGCTTTCGCTAGCGGATAAGCAGTCGGCTTCCTGTTCCTCACAATATTGCTGCTGCTGTTGCTGCTGCTGCTACTGCTACTGTTGCTTCGGGCGACGATGCGGACAGCCTTGCCGTTGCTGCTTACTCCAGTAGATGGTTCTTCCAACGGAATCCCTCTAGGGAAGCGTATCACCTGCTCTGTAAACAGCCTTTGCTGCCTGCTGTTGCTGCTGCTGCTACTCCTGCTCTTGCCAAGCTCAGCAGCAAGGACTGCCGTGTTAGTTCTGCTGCGCAGAGCTTCTTGGGTTCGGAGGGCAGGCGCAGTATCCGGTCGGGACTGGGGCCTGGGAGTTTCAGTCTTTTTTGTTATTATGCTTCTGTTCTTGCTGCTGCTATTACTACTGCTGCAGTTCTTGCTGATGTTGCGGCTGTTGCTTCTGGCTTCGACGTCTGCTCCAGCACCGCTTGCTCCGCTTGCTGCTCGTGCTTCTGCTGCAGCTGCAGATAGAGCGGTGTGGGCGCGGCTTCTACAGGACGGCGCCCCCGAAGCGCTGCGAGCATTTGCCACGTAGGGGCAGCTGCTGTAGCTGCGCTGAGCTGCTCTACTTGAACTGCTTTCTGTTCTGCCGAGTGGAACCACTTTTGCTGCAACATCTGCTGCTGCTATTGCTGCTCGCGATGGTTGTCCTGCAGGTTTGCGTTGTTGTGCACTCTTCCCAGGAACAGTCGTTGCAACTTCGGCAGTACCTTCTGCTGCAGGACAAGCAACTGCTGCTGATGCACCTACTCTTAGAGGGGTTCCTGCCGCAGCTGGGTTATGTATTGACTGTGGGCTCCCTGTGTCAACCTTTGGCAGTTGCTGTTGTTCCCCGCCCCTCCACCGCGGTTTGCTCGCAGTGAAGAAGCCCCTATACACCACAGCAGAAGCCCCACTGATCTGCGGCTGCTCCTGCTGCTGCTGCTGCTGCTGCCCCTGGGCCTTGCTGGTGCTGCTGTGTTTGCTGCTGTTGCTGGTATTTTTGCTTGGAGAGGCGGTTGGGGGAACTTGGCCTACCATCTGCATGTTTTCTTCGAGTTGTAGTACCTGCTGCTGCACCTGTAATAGCTGCTGCTTGTGGCGCGCCTGCTCCTGCTGCTGCTGGAGGCTACCTTCGTAGGGCACGATGGCAGTAAGAGAGCGAACTTTAGGTTTAAAGGTATTCTGTGTTAAGGGCTGCCCACAGTGAGGAGGGCTCTGCCGCCCACGAATCAGCCATATGCTGTGTGACGCCCCCTTGGGCGACAGAGGAGAGAGAGGGGGAGAAATATCCTGCAAAAACTTATTCTGCTGCTGCTGCTTCGGCTGTTGCTTGGGCTGCTGGTTCGGCTGCTGTTGGTGTCCCTGTTTCAGGAGCAGGAGATGCTGCTCCCTCTCCTGCTGCTGGTGCTGTTGCTGCTGCTCCTGAGAGCTGTCATTCTTAAGAGGGCGGGCTTCTCGTGTGCGTTGGCCTGGGGGACCTGGAGGGGAGGGCATTTGCTGCTTGCTGCAGCTATTGGGGGTCTCCCCACAGTTTGTTGCTGCATGTGATGCTGCTGTTTGTTTCTTCTCCTGTCTGTGCACAACGCTTCGAGCCCTGCTGTTGCTGCGGCTATTGCAGTGCTGCTGTTGCAGCAGATGCTGCGGGGGCTGCTCGGTTAAGCGTTTGCGCTTCGTCTGCCGTGCGGAGGGACTGCGTTGCGGCTGCTGCCTCCTCAGATGGGGCAGCAGCATCTGTTGCTGTGGCTGCTGTTCCTGCTGATGCAACTGCACCTCTTGCTGCTCTTGCTGATCCTGCTGATCCTGAAGCTGCCACTGGTGCACCTGCTCCAGCTGCTGCGGCACCTGCTGTTGCCGCAGTTGCTTTTGTTGCTGCTGCTCTTCCTGTTCCTGCTGCTGTTGCTGGTGCCTCTGTTGTACCTGCTTCAGCTGCTGATTCTGCTGCTGGAGCTGCTGTTGCTCCTGCTGCTGCTGCTCTTGCTGCTGCTGGAGCATCAGCCGCTGTTGCAGATGCTGGAGCTGCTGCTCTTGCTGCTTCTCCTGCGTATTCTCTACCTGCTGCTGCACCCGTTGCTTTTGCTGAACCTGTTGCTGCTGTTGCTGTCCCTGCTGCTGCACCTGCTGCTGCTGCACCTGCTGCTGCAGCAGCAACTGCTCCTTCTCCTGTACCTGTTGCTGTAACACGTGCTGGTGCTGTATCACGTGCTGCTGCTGGAGCACGTGCTGCTGCTGCATCGCTTGCTGCTGCTGTAGCACGTGCTGCTGCTGTATCATGTGCTGCTGCTGCATCACTTGCTGCTGCTGTAGCACGTACTGCTGCTGCAACATGTGCTGTTGTTGCAGCACCTGCCGCTGCTCTTCCACCTGCTGCAGCTCCTGCACCTTCTGCGGCTGCACCTGCTGCTGCTGTACCTGCTGCTGCTGAGTTGTCCTTAAGAGCCGAAGTGTTTGTTGTTGCTGTCTGTCCACCATTTGTATCGGTCCCAGAGGTTGTGCTTCCTTTTGGGCAGCAGGCCCGTCGTCAATGCCCTGCTCCTGCTGTTGTTGTTGCTGCTGCTGCTGATGCTCCGACTGCTGCTGCTGCGGTTGCTGCTGCGGCTGCGGCTGCTGAGGCTGCTGCTCTACACCTAGGCTACCGTGTGAACAGGATAGGGTTTCTGCTGCTCTAGCGGCATCGCGGAGGCGTCGTTGCTGTTTGCTGCACTCGAGCAGAGACGACAGCCGAGAAAGGCCCTCAAGCTTGTCAGTTTGCTGGTCCTTGTCTAGGTGTTGCTGCTGCTGCTGCTGCTGGGAGGAGCATAGCTGGCTCGTCTGTAGAAGCGTCTGCTGCTCGGTGGTTTGCTGCTGCTGCAGCATTTGTTGCAGCAGCAGGAACAAATCTTTCTGCATAGGTTGTTGCTGCCCTTGTTGCAGCATTTGCTGCTGCTCTGGTAGCGATTGCTGCATTGCTTGCAGTTGAGACGGGAGGATTCCTTGGTGATGATGTCCAGCAGCTTGCTGCTGCGGCCATTTCAAGTTGTGCTGGTGCTGCATTTGGGCGCTGCTGCAGTGTGCTCCTAAGTCTGTGTCCAGCAGCTGCTGTGGTTTGTCAGTTGCTGCATGTGAGCACCAGGGAGCTGGAGCTAGAGGCGTTGCTGTTGCTGCTGCTGCTGCTGCAGCAGCAGCAGCAGCAGCTGGTGTATTCATGTACCCTATAGGGGATTCCACAGCGTGTCTGAAAGCAGCAGTTTGCTGCTGCTCCCGCAGGAGCAACTCTTCGGCCTCCTTCAAGGCCTCCACAACTACAGAATCCTCTGACTGTGCACTCTCGGCTTTCTGCAGCTGTTGCTTGCTTGCTGCGCTGCCGCTACTGCTGCGGAGGCGCTGCTGAGCGATGGTACAGGCCAAACGGGGCAGGTGCGGAGGCCCATATGCAACTGCAGAGGCCTCTGCTTCATCCAGTGAGGAACATCTAAAGTCAGCAGTGCTCTGAAAGTGCTGCTGCTGTTGGTGATTAGGAGGCCTCTGCGTCAGGAGGGCGTGGAGACGGGTCTCGAGCTGCTTCCGCATTAGCAACTCTTCCTGAAGCACAAACTGCTGCTGCAGGGCCTGGGCACGCGTGGCTTCTGCTGCACTGCGCATGCGCTGCTGCTGCGCCCTCTGCTCCATTCGCCAGCCTGTCCTTGTAGGACTGCTTCTGCTGCTGCTGCTGTTGCTGCTGTTCTGCACCTCATATGGTCCCTCCCGTTTCATATGGCTGCTACGGACATCTTCGAAGACTCCCGCAGGGTCTCGACCTGCCAGCACCTGCCCTCCACAGGTGCTGGGGGCAGCAGCAGCTCCATTGCCGGCAGCACCTGTTGCTCCCGTTGCTGCTGATGCTGACGACGCAGCAGGTGGAGGGGGCAACGCCTTCTTGACTGTCCTCCCCTCCCTTGTATGTGACCCTTCGGTTAATGCTGCTGGTTTTGTTCCAGGTATTGTTGTTGTTGCTGCTGCTGCTTCTGCGGTTGGGGGAGGCGGCGCCTGTCCCGTTTGCAGCAGATGATCGACTGCTGCAGCAGCTACGATGAATTCCTTCCTCGCTGCAGCTCCTGCTGCTGTTCTGCGTTCTTCTTCCATCGCCTGGCGCAACAGCAGCAGCAGGTAGTTTTGCTGCTGCTGCTCTGCAGCAAGGACGTCTAGCAACAGTTGCTGTCCTTCAGCGGGCAGCAGCTGCAAAAGCAGCTGCAACTCCCGCTGTTTCTTACGGTGGTCATTTCCTGTTTGAGTGTCTCTGCTGTTCCAGCAGCAGCCGCTGCTGCTACTACCGCTGGTGCTTGGAAGAATGTGCTTCGCCTTCGCGCGCCTCCTATTGCTGTCTGCTGCTGCTGCAACCTCTAACCAGCTCTTAGGCCTGCCGCCAGAGCTTGCCTGCTGCCGTTGCTGCTGCAACTGCTGCTGCAGACGCAAAGGATCGGAGAGATCCTGCAGGTTCTCTAGCAGCTGGTGCACAGTCTCTGTAAAGGAAGAGCCCTCAGGGGGCCCTCCTTCTGACTTGGGGGCTTGGACATGGCCCCCTGCTTCTCCTGCTGCTGCTTCTACTGCCGCCGTTGCTAAAGGGGCTTTCCCCTTCCCGCCGAAGGCCAGAGTGCTGCGCGAACTGCAGCTGCGCCTGCGGCAGCAACCCACAGCATGAAATCCCTGAGGCTGTTGACGCTGCAGCAAGCAGTTGCTGCTGCTGAAGCTGTTGCAGCGCCAGCATCCCCAAACAAACTACTGGTCAGAATGAAAAGAAGAATAATGGGGACAGGATAGGCTGAGGCAAGGATAAAACAACAGCAGAGTTGATCCATGCATTCAATTAAATATGAAAAAACAAAGCAAAACCAAAGAGAACCGGGCATCCAAGTCTGGAAATCTACCCGTATGCCCGCGGTGCCGACAGCTGCGGACGCTCAACTCTTGTTCCAGTGCCACCTGCAGCAACAGCGCAGCAGCACCAGCAGCGCAAACAGCGAAAGCAGCAGCATTAGCACCAGCAATTGCACAAGGAGCAGCAGCCCTACCACCAGCAGTAGCAGCAGAGGAACACCTCGATCAACACAAGTCCGTGCACCTCTCTGACTATGGCTGCTGTCGCTGCTGTTGGTGCTGTCGAGAAGCAATTAAAAGTGTGACTTGAGTAACAGCCGAAACAACACCACTGAAATCAATGACAGCACCAACAGTTCCAGCATTCGGAGCAGCAACAACCGCAGTAACAGGAGACTGCTGATTATATGAATCACTAAGACTGCAACAGCAACAGCACCAACAGGAGCAGCAGCACGAGGGCTGTTCTGCTCACCCCACGTTTGACTCTGAGTGCGTTGGGAGAGTCTTCTGCTGTACGCAAACGCAGCAGCGCAAACCAGCAGCAGCAGCAGCTTTGCGATTGTTATTTAGTGTATTGGGTTGGTGTCCTTCAACGTCTCGGTACACCCTCCACGCCGCCTCCTGCAGCTCAATGGGTCCTCCTGTGAGCCTTCCAGCTGCGCCTTCCCTGCCTCTGGAGGCCCCCGAATCATTCCCTTGGGGTTTCAGAATGCTCGGGCTTGCAGGTCGCGTTTGTTTCTGCTGGTGCGTTGCAAATGAAGGCCCCTACAGCGGCAGTTGGGCTCTCTTTCCTCTCGCAGGAAATATGGGAGGCATCGCCTCCCTCTGTTCGCCATTTCTTTGCCATTTTTCTTGTTATATTGTTATTGTAATCCTACTATTTTGCTCAGCGCTGTGTCAGTCTTTAAGCTGCTTGCCGATTTCCCGCTGTACCTACTGCAGTTTAATTATCTTCCTCGTTATTTACTGTTGTTTATTTTATGCTTATTTTCTACTTCTGGTTTTATGTTTCTTCTTGGTGGTTTGTTCGTTTATCCGTGGGTTTGTCTGATAGTCTTCTCATATATGCCATTAGATTGTTCCTTTGTTTAGCTTTCCTTTGCTGCTTTTCTCTTTTCTTTGGTCTCTCTTTGTTGTTTTTCATTAGCTTGCTCTCTGCTTTACTATTTTCTTCTGTTTTCTGTTTACATATTTTCCTGTTGCTCCGTTTACGTGTTTTTGTTTGTTTTCGGGTGTATTACTCTATTTCATATTTTGTTTTGTTTGGTTTAATAGTTATTATGTCTGTTTTGAGTTTTGCAGTCATCTATTTACGCAATAATGTTTTACATTTCCTTTTTGTGCCTTGGATTGAGTTCCTCGGCGTTCCATACAACTCAAACTTACCATGTTATTATGCTTTATTTAAATGTATTTATTTGTATTTGCATTCTTTATCTTTTGCGTTGTTTTTATTATTTACCACTATATGCTGGCATAGGGGCTTCTGTGCTGCCAAAGCCTACCGAGCAGGTCCATTCGCATGCTGACAATGCTGCTGCTGATGCTGCCCATCTTGTTGCAGCGAGAAAAACATAAATCCACGACGGGTTGCTGCACTTGGGACCCGTTGCAACTGACGAACGACCCCTGAAAAACGCAGGCGCAAATGCATATATTGTTGTTGCTGCTGCAGCTGACCCTGGTGCTGCTGCAGATGATGCTGCTGGATGTGCTGCCATTGCTGCTGGATGTGCTGCCATTGCTGCTGTTGTTGCTGCTGTCACTGACGTGCGTGCCCGTCCTTCTCCTGGATACCGTTGTGTTACTGCTGCTGCTGCTGTACTGCAGGATGCGGCTGTTGAAGGATTCATTCTGCTGCATTTTCTGCTGTCGCTGCAGCTGCCGCTGCGGTTGCAAGCCCAAGGCACCTCAACACCAGCACGGGCCGCGGTAGCAACAGTCTCGGCATGAAGCATCTCTGAGGCTGCTACGGAGGCTGCTCATGTGGCTGCCTCTGGCTGCAGCTGCACTGTGGCTGCTGCTGCAGCTGTGTCTGTGGCTGCTGCAGCTGTGTCTGTGGCTCCTGCAGCTTCCTCTGCCTGTGCTGATGCTCATACCCCAGCTATTGCGTGTGGTTGAACAATTTTGGTCTAGAGTGTAGGGTTTAGGCTTTAGGTTTTAAGGCTTAAGATTCAGATTTAGGGTTTAGTTTTTAGGACCTGATTGTATCTTCCATGTGGCCTCCAGGAGAGTGTCATCTCCCCCGACTCCGAAATGCATTGTGGACGTTGGACGCTGCAGTTGCTGCTGCAATCGTTATTGCCACTGATGCTGCTGCTGAAGGTGGGGCTGCTCCTGCTGCTGTCGAAAGGGTTTATTCAGTAGATGCTGCAGCTGATGTACCTACTGAACGGCAGCCAAGCAACGGCGGCGTTCCAAGCCACACATCGCTTGTGCCGCTCCTGTTGTTGCTTGCTCCAATTAGCTAATATCTTGCTTCTTGTTTATTTGGTTCATTATTTGATGGTACTTGTCGAGATCCTGTTTTTTAATGGGCGATTGGGGCCTATGCTTGCAGGCGTGAAGGGTAGCGCTTGAGGGTCGGGCCTCGGTAGTCCTAGACCAGAGCCCTAAACCCTAGTAGGATCTAAACTATGGCTAGATTTGAGGGGCTGGGAGGCCCCTGATGTTGCTCATCCAGGAGTCCAGGACGCGGAAGACAGAACTCCAGCTTCATCCGCACAGACTGCTGCTGCTGCTTCTCCTGCTGGAGGGGTGACCCTGAAGGCCCCCGCAGCAGCGGCTGTGCTCGGCCCCAGCGGTGTGCGGCCGGGGGTCTAGTGCTGCATGCAGTTTAACTATAAACGATTACGAATATGCAAAATTAATAAATCAAAACCCATTTCGTCAAAACTTCCACTTAGGATGCTTCTCTTCAGCAGCAGCAGCAGCAGCAGCAGCAGCGGTGCGCGAGGCTCAGCGGGTCACCGCAGCCCCAGATGGCTTGTGATGTTCCCATCCATCTTTTTGGATGTATTTTACTGAAATTATTGTTTGCTCATCTTTTCCAATATTCATCAATACAAATTAAAGCTGTTCCACCCTTCCAACGGCCCTACCTACCCGCCGGCAAGCCTCAACCTGCACGTGCCTTATCCGCCGTCGCCCCTGCTGCCCCTGTTGCTGTTGCTGTTGTCCGCGTTGCTGTTGGTACTGCTGTTCCCCTCATTGTGTTTTTTCTGAGCAAATCATGCTGCTCTCCACTTCCCGGTGATCCCGTTATGGGGCCTCCGCTGCTTCTTCATGAAACCCAAGGGCCCTTTGCCTCTCAAGGTCGCGTTTCCGCTGCCAGGCGGACCCGAGGGCCCGGCACGCGCCCCCTATGGGCTCCCCCAAAGGGCCCATAAATGGCTCCCATGGCTCCTGTGAAGGTCCACCTTTGCCGATTATTGTAGCAACGGGCACTGGGGGCCCAACAGGGCGAAAGCTGACCTCAACACTTCGGAAGTGTTGAGGTGAGCTTTCGCGCCTGGTATTTGCTGGGTGTGACCCTCAGAGTTCGAAACGGCAGCTACAGAGGTCTGAAGTGGAGTCCTGTACATAGTCATAGCAGCGTCAACTGTAAGAACCACTACTCTGCAGGCCAACAATTGGCAGTTGTCATTACGCCACATCTGTTGCTTACACAACAACACAAATCGGATTTTATCGCTGGTGGTACCTTAGGGTTCGCACTTTAAAGAAGACGCCCTTAAGCAGAGAATGGTGAGTGACGGTCCTCAAGCTGAGGGGAGGAGCCCCTCTGAGGGCCCTTCGAAAGGCCCCTCGAAGGGCCCCACTGGGGGCCCTTTTGGGGGGGCCCCTACTCAGTTGAAGCGGCGGATGGCCTTAGCTCAGTACTTGCTGTATCAAGTGAGACGCAGCAGAGAGGCACACTACCCTGGAACAAGCAAAAAACTGGACCCCCACGCGGGGCTTCCAGGGGGGTCTCCTGAAGAAGGCACAGGAGGCAGTGCAGCAGATATTGCAGCTGCTGGGGCTGAGGGCCTCGCCGACGCCCTCGACCCATCTGTACCAGTGTCTGTACTGCTGCAGTCTGTCTCCGCTGATGATGATGCAGCTGATGACGCTGCATCAAGCTCAGCAACAGAAAAAGCACCAATGGAAGCAAGAGGAAGGGCAGGACGAGCAGCTGCTGCAGTGGAGCCTTCTTGGGGGGCTTTGGCTCGGGAGACTGTTGCTGCTGCAGGCAGACCTCCTCACGAGGCCCTGGAGCTATACTTGTGTGAGCGGCTGTTGCCGGTTCTGGATAGCGCCTTGGCTGCCCTATGCAGGTTCGTTGAGCAGTTGCAGGCGGACGAGCGTCAGTACGAGCAGAGCCTGCAGCAGCAGCAACAACACCAGCAACAGCAGCAGCAGCAGGAGGGAGCAGGAGGAGGTCATGGTCCATGTCTATTTCTGGGTCATGGCCTGAAAAGCCGCTTCGACCCCCTGGTCTGGCTGGGGCAGTACTTGCTACGCCAGGGGAAAGCAGCAGAGGCCTACGAGAAGGCCTCGTGTGCCTCCAGCGCAACAGCAGAAACAAAAACACCAGCATCATCAACAGGAGCAGCAGCCACAGATCCATGGGTTCGAGGAGAGCACTTACGGCACTCAGAACTCCCCTACTATTGGGCAATTGCTGAGGCTGTTCGAGAGGAGAGAGCCTGGAGAGCCCTCGAAGCCCTGAGGCCGCAGACAGAGCAATTCGTATACACTCACATTCAGCGGCTGCAGCAGGAGCAGCAGAACGAAGAGGAGGAAGAAACCCATCACAGTACAGAAAACGTGCACCAGCAACAAGACGAGCAGCAGCAGCAGCAGCAGCCATCCGAGCGATGCCAGCTGACGGCCGAGGATCTGCCTGCAGTGTTGCAGGCATTAGACGCAGCGTGGGGCCTGGAGGAGCACGAAGGGCTATTTGCTGCTGTCTTTTTCGCAGAAGACGACGGCGGGACGGAGGACTTCAGCCTCCCCAGCAGCTCCCGAAGCAGCAGGCCTTCAGCCAGAGAACTCCATCTGCAGCACTCCAACAGGAGCAGCAGCAGCAGCAACATCGTGGGGGCCTGTAGCAACGTGCCTCTGGAGGTTGCTGACAGCAGCAACATTACTTTTGCAGAATTGTGGGACTTTGTCGCCGCCTGTTTGCAGCGCTGCCCCTCCCTCAAGCAAGCCATCTTCGAACACGCCCTCAGCAGCGTCAGCAGCACCACCACAGAGCAACAGCAGCAGAAACAGCAACAGAAACAAGAGAAACGGGCAGAACAGCAACACACGCAGAAGCAAGTGCAAGAGGGGAAGCGGCGACAAGAGGAAAGAGAACAGCAACAGCAGCAACAGGAGCAGGAAGCAGACGAAGGAGGACAGCACCTGCCAGCAGACATTGAAATCAGGAGAGGGGGCAGCGAAGGGGACAACAAGGACTCAGACGAGGAGCAGCAGCGGCAAGAGCAGCCCTAGCAGTAGCACCCAGTTGAGATGGCTTTGCAGCAGAAGAGCTAACGATGGATGTCTAGGGACTGGGGATCATTCAACAAACAGCTGCAGGAACAACAGAGACAACAGCAACAATAGCAACAACGGCAACAACATGAACATCAACAGCAGCTACCAAGGCAAGGTGTGACTCCATTCGGGTTTCCAGCTGAACGTCCTAGCACATTGGAAAGCAGCAGCACATATAGGTCATTTGAAACTCCAACGAAGGCACAGCGTGGGGCGAACAACTGGGAATAAACCGCAAAAGTTCTCCAAGCAACCATCACACTGTTCCCGTCTATGCCCACAAGCAAATGAACCAAAATAACTATAAACAAACAAACATACAAACAAACAAACAAACTGAGCATTTGCCAAACTTCAAGCGTATTATAAATGTACAGTTGCAGGTAGTGCAAACTGTAATTGCGTGATCTTTTGGTGGCCGTTTATATTCTTGGGGTGGCAGTGAGGTATCATGTCACCACTTCCCGCAATTTCTCCGGCGCTGTAAAGGGTTCTACTTCTCATTAGCAAATCGATGAAGCATTAAGGGAACTAGCAAATAAAACTAATGCTTAGAACAAATATATTTATGTATCAAATCCAATTGCAAAACAAAACCCGAGGAGGATAAAAACGAGGCAAAATGAAGACGAAACAAGCTTGCAAAGCTGATAGCATCGGCTCTCTCAGCGACGGAGACACTCAGGCAGCATGGTATGCTCCGTTTGAGGCGTGCGCGTTTTTGTGAGGAGTGTTCCTCCTGTAGTTTCTTCTGCTGTACCTGTTTGCTGTTGCTGGTGCTGGTGCTTCTTTTGCTGGTGCTCCCCTGCTGCTCGTGCCGTTGCTGTTGCGGCTCCGCTTACTGCTGCTTCTGCTGCTATTGTTGCTTCTGGTATGGATTTTTCGGTTGGGAATGCTGCTGCAACTGTGGTCAGTGCTGTTTTCCTTGCTTGTGCTAAAGCTGTGGTCCCTGATGGGTGTGGTCCCTAGGGAGTGGGGGCTTGAGTTCGAGCTTCGGCAGCAGACGAGAAGTACTACAAACAAGAAGGGTGTTCCGCCCTTCATTCAGTTCTCTCAATAAGCCCCAAAGCACTCACCGTTGTCTTGAGGGACAGAAAAGCTATTTGCAGCTTTCCATGCCATTTTGAACTGGTCGCCTGCTTTTTTTCTTGTCAAGTTAGATCGCTGTCGAAACAGTATAACAACAAAAGACTCTAAGGGGAGTATTATTTTTCTGGTCTTATCTCTTCAATGCATCGCCCCAGCCGCATAAGCACCGACCAGCTGCCCTTCTGTTGGTGGACATCATTGGAATAACTGCTCCAATGGTAGCTCGCTAGCTTCGGAACCGACTCACTAATTAGCCAGTCTTGCTGTTCCATTCTCCTGTATTATAAGGTGAGCCTCGGCACGTTCCGCCTGCAGCTCCTGCAGCACGTACTTTGCTCAATTAACTTGGGAAAAGCATTGGTTGTCTACGCTAATGGAGAGAACAACCCGAAAGGAGTATAGATTTACAATATTGAACTTAAACCCCCTGTGATTCACTTTTTGTCTTTAATGCTAAGTGTTTGCTCTACATAGACGAATTGTGCGCAGTTTAATGGAATGTTGCAACGCGATTCTCTGGTGCTACAGAAGTCGAACAAGGGTTTGGAGGTGTAGTCTTCGGGGGCAGCCCAACTTTGTGCTAAAAAACATTATTCCTACAATCATTACTTTTATTACTATTCCTTTTATTATTTTCTTTGTTCCGATACAACAAGCCAGAGGGTGGACGGCGGTGGTGAGCATCACTCTGCATTGGCTGGCCCCACAGAGACCACCTCGAGCTGGCAGTCGCTGGGCGGAGTCTATATAAGTCAACCGGCGAGCAGCGCGGGTATACGTTGGTGGAGTGTTGCTTTAGCTGTTTTTATTTTATGTAGACCACCAGTGCTTTAATTTCTGCAGTAATCAATTGCAGCTCTATATGCTTGCCTTTTCCCCTCGCAGGTTCTGCCGTTGGTGCATAGCGAGCAGCACAGAGGCTGCTGCGGACATTTGAGGGGCTCCGCCTTCAGGCCTTGTCACTGGGCTGGGCTCCTACAGTTCGCCAAACGGTTGAAACAGAAACTTCTAAGCAGACCTTCATTTTTATCGGCAAATCAAATGGAAATTTCTAGCTGTTTTTATCTTTTTTAAAGCTTAACGCAGGCTGACGCTGCATGCTCGCGTCGCTCGCCAAACTCCTGACGGCTCCTGCACGCCGTTGAATCCTGCGTTGCTGGCACAGAAAAAGCATAGCATGCATAAATTTCCCCCAATCATTTGAAATAATATTCTGTCTTCTTTTTACAGAGTGAATAAAGTGGAGTTGCGCAGACGCCTCGCGGAGGCGCCGCAGAGCAATTCTTGAGTGACCCCGCAGTTGGCTGCTCCCGCCTGCGGTCTCTGCCAATATTTTGGTTTGAATTTGAATGTATATGCACAAGAATAAATTAATAGTGTATGAGTGCACATGCATGCAGTTTCACCTGTGTATACATCCATGGGCTTGTGCCTAGGGCCCGCACACTGGCTTTGTAAGCCTCCGCTCTGGGAGTTTTGTCGCAAGGATTTCTGGAGTTCGGGTTAAAGGAGACCACCGAAATTTCTACGAACCTAAAGAGCGCCTTTTGCGACGAGGTTGGTTTGCATGCTACAAGCGGTGCTCCCCCGTCTAGCCCGGCATCCATTGTCCCCCGTTTAGGGTTGAGTGCATAGGATTGACAGTTTCGAGTATACGGTCTAGAAATGCCGCCCCCAGCGAACCCAGAGGTCTCTGACTGCTCGTCAGATCTCAGTTCAGAACTTTCTGACGAAGATGAGACAAAGGAGGACGGGGACAGGGTCCCCCTCGAACAATTTGCAACAAATGAGAAGTTCGCTGCAACTCTTGAACTGCTGCAACTGCCCCCAGCTGAGCGAAGCAGAGAAAATGTAAAGAATTTAAACACATGCAAAACTTTAATTTTCTTATAATTAAGAAGAGCTTTCTATCTGATAAAAACATGCAGAATTTTTTTTCATTTCCTGCAACGAAATGCAATGCGGCGATTCCTCAATGGCTGCTGCCGATCGCGTGCCCCTACACCGTGGAAATGTACATGAAGGTGGATTTGCATATCTAGATATGCAAATATATATATATATATATATATA